CATTATATATAACAGACCCTCCTATACCTTCGAACATGGTCAACCCGGGTGCTATAATCAATCTTTACTTTAGTTCCTGAAAACTTTGTTCATAATTATCTGTCCATCGAAACTTTACTACTTTCATTGGTCTAGATATTTTGGAGAATTCTTCGATAAATCTTCGATAGTACCCAGCCAATCCAATAAAACTTTAAACTTCACAAGCATTAATCGGTATATTTCAATTTGTTACCGTTTCCACTTTTGCTGAATCTACTGCAATTTCTAGATAGTACTACTTGACCGAGAAATCTAACCCGCTCTAACCAAAATCCTTTTTGAATTTGGAGTATAATTTTTCCTCACGTAGTATTTCTAACGCTAATCATAGATGTTCTTGCTACTGATCTTTACTCTTGGAGTATTTAAAATGTTATCAATGAAGACTATAACAAATTGATCCAAGTATTGATGTAACACATGATTCATTAAATCCATAAATACTGTTGGAGCATTAGTTAAACCGAACGGAATAACAATGAATTCGTAATATCCATAATGAGTTCTAAAAGTATCTTGTGTACATCACTTTTCTTAACCTCCAATTGATGATATCCAAATCGTAAATCAATCTTAAAAAGTATCTTAGCCCCTTTTAATTGATCAAACAAATTCTCGATTCTTTTGAGATGATACTTTTCTTGACGGTCAAATGGTTTATCTCTTGATAGTCGATTCATATCCTCATATTTTCATCTTTCTTCTTTATGAACAACACTGGTACGCATCACAGAGAAACACATGGTTGAATAAAGCTAATGTCCAACGATTTTTTAAATTAAATTTTCAACTCCTGAAGATCCTTTGAAGCCATTCTGTACGGGGATTTAAATGCTAGTATTGCTTCAGTAACCAAACCTATTGTGAATTTTACTCATCTATCTGGTGGAGTACCAAACAGATCTTGGAAACACATATATAAATTCTTATACCACTGGTATATCCTCAATCTTTGTCGTCACCTATTTTTCTTCTAAGATGATAACTAGAAACCCTTAATATGTTTTTTCTCTATATTTTCTCAGCTTGTAAGGATGATACTAGTTGTAGATGGGATTTGGTCTTTATTTTAGGGAAAGAAAATTGTTCTTCTCCTGGTTTCTGAAAAGACACTTCCTTTTCTATACAACTAATTGTTGCTTAATTATATTTCAATCAATCCATACCCAAAATCACATCAAAGTCTTTTATCTCTATCAGATACAAACTAGCTTCTAATATTTTTCTCTCAATTTCAAGATTCACCGACCTCGTTAACTGTTCTGTATTCAATGTTCTGCTTAAGGAGATGCTAACTTCTAGTGTACTCTTTGACTTATTGCAAGTAATACAAGGTTTAGCAATGAAAGACATTGGTACAAAAGAGTGACTAGCTCCTAAATCAAATAGTACATAAGTAGGTATATTAGATATCAGTAAAATACCTGCTATTACATTTGTATTCTCCCCTACCTTCTTCGAGTCACTGTAAAAACTCATGCTTTCTCTTTTTATTCTGATCATTTTTGTCATCCTTCTTTAGAGTAAATGTGGTACAGTCCTTAGTGATATAGCTTATTGTTTCAAAAATAGGCATTTTTCCCATATAGGCATTCCCACGATGAGGCTTACCACATTTAGAACACAGAGCTACTACAGCTACTATGCCTTTATCGGCACTAGATCTAATAATAGCTTTCTTATTCAGCAATTTCTCATTTCCTTGGTCTTGACCATTCCACTTTCTCTTTCTAAATTATCCTTTATCCTAATGGTTGTACAATTGTCTGTGTTGTTCTACATTAGCCTTCTGATACTAAAGAGAATGAGTTAATTCTATCGAGCATGAGCTCATTCCACCATCTCATGGTATGATGTGAATCAATGTGATATAAAAATCATACTTAGGTTAGGGACTTGTTATCCTGTTTGAGTTGAAGGAATCCGCTCTCCTTGAAATCCCTTAGAGACTGAGAAAAAAACTTGTCCAACACTTCCTCCTAGAATTGTTCCCAAGTTAACGCCATTTGCTACTCTTATGTCCTAGTTCGGGACATTAAATAACGCCAGTGATTTACATCATTGATAAACATAAGCTTTGGACATTGGACCTTTTTTAGCATCAATGCAGGCTATTATATTGAAAAATGCGTATTAAATTGTGAAGCTATTCCTGAGCTACTAGATGACTAGATGCTCCATTGAAGGTAGGATTTTATGGCTTCNGAAAAATGCGTATTAAATTGTGAAGCTATTCCTGAGCTACTAGATGACTAGATGCTCCATTGAAGGTAGGATTTTATGGCTTCGAAATAACTCAACAACCTAGGCATGGGCGAAAAGTAATAGGAGCTGGTGGTGTAGGTGAAGCTAGTGTCCGATTCAGTCTACCAAGATTTTGAACTGGTTGCCGGAGGTACCTTATCAAGTTTTTCTTGTTTGCTCATGACATTTTCCTTGAAATAAGAAATAATAACTTTTAGTAATTTTGTATACCAATACAGAATACTTGGAATGGAAGGACAAAGTGAAATATTTCACATCTTGATCACATGATTTTTTTTTTCTTTTGGTTGAAAACATCTTGAAATAGGAAAAATAATTCAATAAATTTTATTATTATTTCTCAAATAAACGAGCAATATCCATAATCTCTAGTCATTCACTCATGGTGTTCTCTGGATCTTTCTCTTCCTCATCATTAGTGTTTACCGTAATTGGAACTTCGTCATTTGAAGTATATGCCGATTTGGTTCCCAAGTGAGAGATAACATCACTAATCATAGTCTCCCAATTATGGATATAGGCATTGCAAAAATCCTCAAAGTCAATTTCCTTACATTTATTTTTTAAAATTTTAGATAGCTTATTTTCTTTTATAAGCTTCTCGATAAGTTTCTCACGAGGTGTAAGAATTTCTAGCGAATGACCTATTGCCAGTCGTTCACTAATCTGTAACCCACATTTTTTGCTTTTAGCCAATATTTGTACATGTCTAGTATGTGATTGTCAATGTCTAAAGATTTGTCTATCTTAAAATCAAGGTAAGCTCGAATAACTATCTTTTGTTGATTAACATGATTCCCTCTCCTAGCATTTAGTCTTCCATAGCCATCTTCATTCATAACTTTAATTTTTAGTCCAATACATGTCCTCTTCAAATTACATTTATCTCTATGTATAAGATGCATAGGAAGAAAAATGTAAAATGTACGGTAACATGGAAAACATAACAATTAAATCATAATTTTTTTCATAATAAAAATTTTAACTTTGCTTAGTTAAACATTCCTAGGTCATAGTATGAGATCGATTGATGGATATGGGATGCTATGAATTGCTATAATTATTTTAGTTTCTCATTTTAATTTCCCACTTGTAATTAAAGTGTGTGTGTGTGTGTGATAAGAAAAATGACGAGTCTATAAAATCGACTAAACCGTGTTGTAACACCCCGACCCATATGGATTGAATGCTACTAGAACATTTGTACCTTAGCCCATGGACTTAAAAAATATTTTGAAAATAATTAAATTGAATACACATTTTGTCGAATGTATAAAATTTATTTAAAATTTGATTTAAGAATTATTTAAATTCTAAACAACACCATTTCATATTAAGGGATCATCTAATAATTTTTCAAAAGTGAAGTAACTTTTGAACGGGAATCTTCATAAACTGGGCTATTTTAGAGCCTGTCTCTGTTAATCGAAAGTGGAGTTCATCTTGTGTTTTTTTTCTTTTCATTCACTTGGATTTCTTCCGTTTCATCGATTTTGTTCAGATTTTCATTTTCTTTTGAAAAAAGGAAGGAGAAGGATTTTCTTCAGTGGATCCCTCTTGTTCCTGTTTAGTCCCCTTCATTTCATAAGTTGTTTCTATTTCTACATCTATTTCTTCCTCACTTTCCACATTTTCTTCCATTTTTGAGCTTTTTTCCATTTCTTAGTAAGAATAGGTGATGGTATTCTATCTAAATGGAAGATACAGGTAAGAAATAAGAGAATACTAAAGATCCGAGCCATAGAATTTCTCAATTCTAACACAAGCTACTTATTAGATCGAATGTACTTATTCGATCTAATAGAATGATTTTACCGTATTCAGACTAATACCAATCCAAGACTTTTCATGAATAAATTGTGCTCAATTAACCAACCAACAAAACTACTTGTTAAAAATGACATCTTGTTGTTGCTTCGAAACATATAAATGTTGACTAATCTGGCTAACATTGAACTTCGTAAAATGAAATGGTTAAATAATTAAAAATGGAATTATTTTTAGGAATACACATTGAATGCTGGAATTATGCATTGAATTTCTGGTAGTAGATCCATAATCAAAAAAGTATTTGTGATTGTTCCGAAGAAATGAAAACAAAAGGTATGGTAGAGCTATGACAGTTATTGTATGAGGTCTAGATCGATATGAACATCATGAGATGTTCCGTAATAAAACCAGTTGTTGCTGATGCCTTTTTCTAGGTTTCTTTTTCTATAACCTGAGCTCGAAGAAAGAAGAGATAAGAAGGCCCTATAGAAAATGTGGTCAAAAATCCATAATAGAGTCTGACCACAACAATCGAATTGATTATCTTCATGCATAAGGATACTAGATTACCTAGTAGAAAAGATTCAAAAATCATCACAAACCTCCGTTATTTCTTTTCTATTGTAATTTCTGGATTATTATATGATGATTTTTGAACTTTCTATATATAGAAAAGAAATAGAAAGAGATAGACTAGAAATAACATTTGTTATGTCAATGACACCAAAGGGGCATTAAATGAATGGAATTGGGATATGGATGAAATATAATGAAATAGAGCCACTTTGAGGTTCCCTCTAAAATGAGATATGGAAGAAAGTCACTATGAAGAAGTTCAAGGAGTTATTAACGAAGCTTCAAGCTCATATTGATCATGGGCTGAGAATGGGAATTGAACTCTATGAGATCTAATTTCTCGTTGTTCTTCAATAGCTCAATGGTAGAGCGGCCGGCTATTAACCAATTGATCGTAAGTTCGAATCCTACTTGGGGAGATTTGGTTCATTCTGAATTAAAGAATTCAGAATAAAGGGGCTTGCTTTGACTGTTAAGAGTAGGTAACTTGGTCCCTATCTTTTTTCTATCTCATCGCATCACATTCTGTTCTGCGAGATTTGAAAATCACCGTCAATACCTCAGTGTAGGTTCGGGATAATCCTTTGTTCCATAGAACAAAATAGTGAAATTGACGGGGTACCCACAACTTGGACAATAGAAGAGAAACAATGAAAGGATCAAAAGGCACTTTCACGGATTTATTTTCATCTCAAACAATATTTTTCAGGATGTTTTGAAGGAGGAGATAGCAACTGCGTTGTGGTTGAAACTGGAGCAATTGTGCATGACTAAATGTTTGACGAGTAAATTACATCTGAAGCAAGGATTGTAATCTCATTGCATGGTAGAATGTGGATCTTTGGAAATTATCTGGCTATGTTCAAATGGATTGTCACTAATTTAGAGACATTAGAGGTAAACCATAGTAAAGAAGATTAGCCATAAACCTCTCATGTTTGTTGCCACTTTGTTTACTTCATTTAGGGACACAATTTTGTATAGTTTTGATACTCTCACCATTGAAGATGTGTATGATGCATTGTTCTCAAAGGAAAAGATAAATCATTTAGTTGGATCTGAGTCTAGAGATGGAGAAGATCTTGTGGTTCATGGTGATCGGCGAAGGGATAAGTCGAGGTTGACTTTCAACAATCAGGTTTATTTTTATTGCAAGAAGAAAGGACACATTAAGAGAGATTGTGAGAAGTTGCAAAGCAAAGGTAATTCAACTGCAAATTATGGGAAGTAATCTAACACTTCGGATAAGGCCAACATAGTTGACGATATTTAAGTGATAGAGATCTCTTCACGATTTCTGACATAGAATCTAAACTTGACGATGAGTAGATTTTGGATACAACTTGTGAGTTCCATGTGTGTCCCAATTGAAATTTATTTGAAGCATATGAAACGATGACAAAAGATGTCATTGTCATGTGTAACAACGAATCTTGTTGGGTAACCAGTATGGGAGAGTCAGATTGAAGCTGATAGATAGAAAGGGTAGAATACTTAATCACGTTCTATATATTCTAATTTTAAGAAGAATTTCATTTCGTTGAGTACTCTTGGTTCGAAGGGGTACACGTTCTCTAGAGCAGGTGGAGTTTTAAAGGTGCGGAAGGGTGTTTGAGTTATGTTGTGTAGACGGAAGAGGTCCCGATTGTACAAAATGTAAGGTCACGGTATAACCAATGAAGAAAAGTTAGCACAGATTTAGTACCATGGTGGATATTCAGTTTGGTACTAGGATTTAGCTCTAGGTCCATATTGAAGAATACTACTAAATCGATTTGGAGGATATGGGTAACTCCATTTTGCTACTATTGTTTGCAGTTCCATCGTATTGAACTACCAGGGATAGACCGATTGGAGGTAGGTACGGGGATGCTGATTTGGTTGCACATGCTTTTAGGGTTTCTGAAAGTGTTGAGACTAGCAAGGGACCTTTGACAAAAGTATTGAGAGTTGATTCTGCTACAAAACGTGCTTCAACCTTATTTTGTAAATTCTAATTCTATGTGAATTTCGAGAAACTCGGTATTTGGGTCCATATATCCGTGTTAGATATTGTGGAATAGGAAGAGTATCTTTTTGTGTGATTGAAAAAGTTTGGTTTAGGTTGAAGAACTTAGTTTGTTTCATTGTAGCCAGACTTATTTTTCTAGGTGAAGAAATTTTGGAGCTCTGTTCATCGCACCAAAATTTATGTCAAGGTGGAGATTGTTGGGTTTATGACCCAAATTCAATCTAAGGTTGTGTGATTTGCAGTATTGGGCTTGAAGATGCCAAAATAGGGTCCAAGTAGAAAAATGTTGGATTTTATGCGCTGGACAGTTTCTAGCCTATCGGTTGAGTGGTAGATGAACTTTTGGAATAGAAAACTGTCACTCGCCTATCGTCTAGCTCTCGTTCGAGTGACAGGTTGTCATTCACCTGGCGCTAGACAGTGTTATAGCGATGGCATCGCACGATATTTTTTCCTTTTTTGTTTTCATACATATTTTCACCTAGTTTCCATCTTTTATGTTACTTTTAAAGTTTTGACATGTCCTCTATAAATAGTAGACTCTTCATTCAATTTAGTGGAATTGCTGAGATTGTTGTAACAATATTATTTTCTCTGTTGGCTGTTTAATAAAATACTCGGTTTCTCGGCCAATCTATTTTTTGTTTTAATCTTGTTTTCTGTGTGCGGTCATATATTCATATTGTATCATATCTTGACCAAAATATGAGCCTAATTCATATCTTGACCAATATATATATATGCTTGTCGTGCTAGATTATCATATTAAAATATGAGCCTAATTCATTTTATTTTTCAGACTTCTACTCGTATAATCCTAAATGTAATGATCAAACTGCTTAAAATTGAAAAAGTAATTGAATGCATAGAATACGCAAGGTCATTCACTCTATGTCCTTTGCTGTTTGCATTAGGATATTAATATTTAAATGATATGATTTATGTGTGTGAACTAAATTTGAATAAGATTTATGGCTCATTACCAATATTCTAAAAACATTGTATTATCACCTTGAAAAAAAATACCAATAATACTTATATGAATATTATAATATTGTTGCAAGATAACTTTATAATGAATATGATGTTGTTTCTCCCCAAGAAAGCAAAATTTTGTACTTAAGAATATTTTAGAGAATTTTTGTATTATTACATAAAAACCCCAAATTTTTGATCAATATTAGTTGAATATTTTTTTTCAAAATCAATAAAAGTATGCGAAACGATGTATAGAATGAAATGTGAAACATGGAGGACAAAATGTTATCCTACATGGCTATTGGATGATCTATGCGGTCGCATAGGTATGTTCTATGCGATCGCATAGAACATTTTGCTAGTCGTTAGGACTATTTTTGTTTGAATTTTTGGTGGTCTTTCTTGTGTTTTGGCACCACTTCGTGTAACATTAATTGATGCTTATAAGTAGGTGATTGATGATCAATGCAAAAATATAGAAGTAGTTTTGAATGATTTCACTAAGTGCTTAAGTGCTAATCATTTTCAAGACTTGATAAATCTTACAAACCATTTGCCAAAAATCCCTTTAAGTATCAAGTTCAATTCGAGAGGGGGCAAATATCGTTTGAGGACAACGATCACATATTTGAGCCTCCATTCAATTTCTGTTGTCCTTCCTTTTATTTCTTCTTATTGTTATTTGTTTCTTCTCCATCCCCTTGTGTGTAAAGCATATTTTCAAGGATTTCAAACAACATTCTGCAATGGAGAAGAAACCACTATGGTGACGATCAAGTTAATAAACTAAGAATCGTTCGTTTGGATCGTTTTGATCAAGAAAATGTGGCAAGACAAGTTGAAGTTACTTCTCACGGTGTCGAAAATATTTTATATTCTTGATCCGAAATTGGCACCGCTACCAGAACCAACAAATGGAAAAACAGATGCCGTAAGATTCAAAAGACAAAAGAGTCAAGAAGATGAATTTATATGCCGTGTTCATATTCTTAATGCTCTATCTGATCGATTGTATGATCTATACACTAAAACTTCTTCTGCAAAGGAAATTTAGAACGCTTTGAAAAGCAAGTACGAAGTGGAAGAAGAAAGGTACGAAGAAATTTTTAATTTCAAGATATTTTTAATTTCTTGATAACATTTCCCTTCTTCCTCAAATTCATGAAGGCCGAGTCCTTGTCAATAAGTTGATGGCTGTCAAATTTGAGATCTCGAAAAATTTTCAAGTGGGAGTAATTATTGCAAAATTCTAGAAAGCTCGGAAAGGATATTAGAAGAAAATTATGCATAATTATGAAGATTACTCTTTTGAACAATTACGGCAACATCTTCGCACTGAGGAAGAGTCAAAGGTGAGAGATAAGAATGATAACTCTTATGATGGTGCATCCAAGGCCAATGCCATGGAGATGACCAAACCTTCTAATAAATCCAACAAGAGAAAGCCTTTAAGAAACTTTCACAAGTTTAAGAAAAAGTCCAAAGGTGGTTGTTTTACATATGGGAAACCTAGACATTATACAAAGGAATGTCGACATCAAAACAAAACAACTCCGAAGGAGAGGTAAACTCTATCAAAGAAGACAATATTGTGGCCACTATAAGCGACATTAATGCAATCAAAAGAAAAGTTCCTAGATGGTGGTATGATACATGTGTAACTGTACATGTATCATATGACAAGTCTTTCTTGAAATTATATTATGAAGTGGATGGAGATAAAGGGATTCAAATGGGTAACAAAGTCCGCTCCAAGGTGGTTTGAAGGGAAATGTAGAAATCATTTTCACTTTTGGAAAGATCGTTACTTTGAAAAATGTGCTACATGTTCCGAACATGAATAGGAACTTAGTTAGCGAAAATCTGTTTTGAAAATCGAGCATAAAAGTAAACTTGTACTATTCCTAAATTGTTGGAAAAGGATTTTCTTGTGAAAGAATGGTTGAACTTTGTACTGTTGACAAGATGATTAATAAAAAAGTTATTTTTGCTTCATGAAAAGAATGTTTAAATGTGACTTAATATCATAAAATAAAAACAATACATTCAAATGTAAAACATGTATAGAATCTAAGATGACTAAGAAGCTTTATCAAAGTGTAAATAAGACTTCTAGTATCTTAGAATTAATTCATACGAATATATGTGAATTAAATGGCATGTTAACTAAAGAGGTAGAAATATGTATTTCATTACCTTTATAGATGACTACTCTAGATACGCATATGTTTATTTGATGAAATATAAACATGAAGCCTTTGATATGTTTTAAACATATAAGAATAAAGTTGAAAATCACTTAAATAAGAAAATAAAAACTTTAAAAAATGATAGAGGATGTGACTATTTTTCTAGTGATTTTAATTCATTTTGTGAACAATGCATAATTTATCAATGTTCAGCACTTAGGTACTCGAACAAAATGATTTG